AACACAGAACTTTATTAAGAATTGCCTCGTTACATAAACTATACCAGCACTTTGGCTCACTCTATACAAAGACCCCAGAGCAGGCAGAAGTGGACCACCTCCTCCTTACTCACATCCCTTATCTGCCAATGTCAGTATCAACCCCTTCCACAAGAGAGAAAGTTAGTTTCCACCTTGAAACTTGAGACTTAATAGCCCTTCTATTATTTCTATCCTCCAATTTTAACTCTGAATATTCTTGTTATCCCTAAAAATACAAACTCTTTTTAATCTTGTTACATTCTTGGCCTTTGTGACTTGGCAGTGAATTCCACAGTCTAATTACAAGTTTTATAACTAGAAGTAATTACAGGTTGGAGTTTTTTTATCAGTTTTAAATGTTACCTTTTAATTTTCCTTGATGTTCTTGTGCTCACATTAGATGACAGAGAACATGGTCATCTAATCTCCTGTACCTAGACAATGATTTTACTGCATGCCCTTCCTAATCTTCTCTCTAAAGTAAAAAAAGGCTTAATCTTTCAAATTAGGGTGGGTTTTTTTCATATCCTCAGCCATTCTCATTACCCTTCCTTGATCCCACTTCAGTTCTTCAATATATTTTTTGAAGTGGGGAAAACAACTGCTGAAATTGTGCAATCTCTCTACTGAACACAATGTGCCACCTGCATAACAGTGGAAGATGAGGTCCTGAGGTTCTGTGAAGAGACAGTCTGACTTCCCCTGACACAATGTTATGGTATCTAATGAAAATTCTGCATCAAATCTGTATGTTCTTTTTACACATAAGCATATTTTCTTGCCTTATTTTAAATCTAGTTTCAATATGAGGTCTTCAACTAACAGATGACTACATTCACAGTTATCCTCTGTTACCTGCCTGCACTTTACTTCTATAGATTGTTATTTTTTTTCAGTTCCCAGGCTGGGAAACTCTTCCTGTATGAGGTTTAAAGAGCTATCAATTACCAGGTGGGGTAAAATAAATAAATTAATTGTAGATACTTCTAGACTGTGATGGTAAGAGGTTACCTCTTAACCTTTTCCCAAATAAACAAAATAGAATGAGCTATTAAAGCTTTATGTTTTAAGACACCAGTCCTAGACCTTATATCCTCCTCGAAAGCCATTCCAGTTTTTCAACCTTCTTTTAACAGTACCCCAGTACTGGTCTCACTAATGCTGTATCAAAGAGGTTACATTCTTCACCTACTCTTATATTGATACTCCCTTGATAAAAGGTCAGTGTTCACACCCTTAGCAAATTCCTCCATAATCTTTTTTATGCAAAGGCTAGTTCTCGTTTCTATTATTTGTTACTTTTACCGTGGAAGATAAAATAATATCTTTACCAATAAAATAATCGTCTTTAACTCAAAGGTATCTTTGGATCTTCTTCTACTCCTCCAGCTTGAGCTGAACGAATTTCACCAAAATGAAGTATATGGATATGCATTTTAATCTTGACATTAAATGCAGCCTATTAACTATATGTCTGCCATTCTTCATGAATGATGAATACATACTATCAGCTCACTAGTAACAGAAGTTTAAGATATTTCTCAAAGATCCAGAGTGTACTAACACATAATCTTTTAAAGTCTGGTCATACCATGCTGACTAATTTATTCATCACTTTAATTAATACCAAGTCCCAAGTCCTGATCATCTCAAAGGAGCATTGCTTCTGTAACAATCTAATAATGGTTATTTTCATACAGTCCTTGTTCCAAAGAGCTAATCATACTACTGACAATATCTATCTGGATGTATTTTATATAGCCTGATCTGAAAAACAGTAATTGTAGTTATATTAGACAGATTAAACTTCTAGCAACATTACCAATGGCAGATAAAAGATAGATAGATAGATAGATAGATAGATAGATAGATAGATAGATAATATCTGCTGATACATATGTATCATCAATGATAACATGTAAATACAACCAAAAATGTGTATCCGTGTGCCTAGGAGTGGAAGCAGCAGATTAAACAATAGGTATATACTACCTAGACAGGATGCAAGAAAAATCCTGTTTATTAATGCAGAAACATGAACTAAAATAGAAGTTTTAGTGGTAGGAGTCATCTTTGACTGAGTTAACTCAGTAGTTTGAGTGATAAAGAAGAAAGAATGTACCATATCTGGAAATGTAAGGTCTTTTACTGATGGCGTTGTCAACACCTTTCTCTAATCACTTGTAATTCTAATAACGTGTTCTTTAAATGTAAAGAAATAAAGAGACGTTGTGGCTTCATAAGATGTACTGGCCTAAAGCAAAGCAATGAAGCTGCTGAAAAAGTGCCCTAACAACCTGTCTGCAAGAGCTGGCAGAGTCAGTCATATCTGTTATGCATTCTAATTTTCAAGTGAACAGGCAGGTATAGCAGGGGACTGCCTTAGCGGCACAGTGAATATACAATTGAGCCCAACAACAAGAACGAAGCGTATAGGAGGTGGAAGTGGGGACACAACAAGAAGGAATACAGCACTGCCCAAGCACACAGGGATGGAATTACAGGGCCATTGCTTGTGAGCAATTAAAATTGATGAAGGATGTCAAGGGTAATGACACTTCTGAAGGAAAATGGGAGACCCATTTAAGTAAAATCTAAGCCTGCTGCTGAATACAGCAGGTGACCTTGTAAAGCAGCACACAGGTACTCAATGTCTTCGTCTCAGTTTCTACTGGCAGGGTCTGCTCTTAGGCCTCCCAGAGTTCCATGTCAAGAAGCAAGAATCAAGCTAGGGTCTTTTTAAACAAGCTAGAAATGTAATACAAGTCCACAAGATTGGACAGAATACATCTGAGAATACTAGGACTGCCAGCAAATGTCTTTGGAAGGGCACTCTCTGTCCCTTGTGACAGGTCATAGTGCTCAGAAGAGGTTTCTGACAATTATAAAAATGTTATGCTTGTCTTTGAAAATTGCAAGAAGGAGGATCTGGGTGATGACAGGCTGACCAACCTTCTCTCAGTTGCTGGGAAAATTATGGAGCAAGTACTCATGGAAACCATTTCCATTCTCATAATGATGAGAATGTTATTAAGAACAGCCATCTTGAATTTCCCACAGGCAAAGTGTGTTTAGTCACTCTGCCTTCTACAACTACATTACAGGCTCTCTGGGTGACATTATAGTAGTAGGTGTTGTGCTCCTTGTCTTTAACAAGGCCTTTGATACAGTTTCCTAGTATCCTTGCAGTCAAACAGGAGACATATAGGTGGACTACAAGGTGGGTTAAAAACTGACTGGACCATCAGCCTCAAAGGGGAGCTAATAACTGTTTCAAATTCAGTTAGCCAGTGACTGCAAGTGGTATTCCCTGGGATCAACACAAGGGCTGATATTTAAGCTTTTCATCCATGACCTGCATAATGAGACCCTTAGAAAGTACAAGTTGACACCAAATCAAGGGAGGTTGTTGGTATACTGGAGGGTATAGCTGCAATTGAGAGAGACTTCAACAAGCTGAATGAGTGTGTAACAGATACATCTGTTTTGAAGTTCCAAAAAGATAAATACAAGGTCCTGCATTGGAGAAGAGTGCAGGCTGGGACTAACGGTTCTACAGGAGAGGACCCAGTGGACCACAAACTGAACAAAGTCATCAGTGTGTCCTTGCGGTAATGAACACTAACCACATCTTGGACTGCATTAGTGAAACCATAGCCAGCAGGTCAAGGGACACAATTATTGCCCTCTATTCAGCACAGATGAAGCCACATCTGGAGCACTGTGTCCAGTTTGTTCTCTTGCCAAATAAAAGAGACTGAAGAGAATTAAGGGTCATTAAAATGGCTAGGAGCTTTGACATACAGGGAGGTTGAGGGACCTGAGAATACCAGTATTACCAACTTTAGTGGACTTTTACTGCCAGAGCATTCTTAGCCACATTCCTTATGGTCACATTATGCAAACAAATGCATTTTGATAGTCCCATCCAGAAGACCTACAATGGTAATGGGTACACATTAAAGCACATTAGTGCCACCAGTGCAGTACCTGATGATGTGCCACAGCAAACTTCCAACTGGGTTCCACACAGCCATTAAAAAGTAGTCTGAAAGTGGTACCGTCTCTGTGCTGCAAGCAGAAACTCCCATGGATCTTCCATATTTCTGTGCCTGACAAACTCACGCCTGCTCAGGGTCTGATGCACAGAAAAATGATTTGAACATCAAAGAACAAACTGGCAGCACCCTACCCATGAATGATTTTCCATTTATAGTTGCAAAGCCACTGCTAAAGAGACCAAAACTAGTTTATAAAATATTTCTGCAGCTATAATTGTTTAGGACCACTGAACTGCACGTTCCAAGCCAGATCAAAAGGAGCACCACAAACCCATGAAAGGCTTATGTGTAAAGACAGAGTAAATTCCATGTCTGGGATCCATCTGTAATTCTGTAAAACCAAGAGTCCTTGTAGCTGTATACAAATTAAATGTCTGCCTGCCAAAATTAAGTGAATGAAAAAGAAATACCCCATTATCACTTTTTTTTACAGTAACTACCTTGTTTTCTTTAATTTTGAATATAAGATAACCTGTCCTCTCACACTGTTGTGAAAATACAAATCAGGTTGGGAGTTATACCAATACCAGACACTGATTGTGGTCTATTTTAAATAACCATTTTGCTTCAAATATATGTGTAAAGGTATGCTATACTCTTTTGACTCAAATAATTAAACCTGATACAGCTGAAGAAGATGTAGCTTAAACTCAACAGGATTTTAAGGAAACTGTATTATTTTCTTGAACAGGTTCAAGGAAAATATATCACTGATTTACCATAGATTGACAACACAAATATAGATTTAAGAAACTGCAAATGCAGTTGGAATGGCCTGATGTTTTTAGTTTGCAGACCAGTGATACATGCATGATTTTTCATGCTTAGTCATGTAAAAAAAAAAAAAAAAAAAAAAAAAA